GTTATGAACTGTGAGAAGTGGTCCCTTTCTCGTTCCTAGGAAAATATAAATGAATTGAAGATATTCAACACAAACTTTTAATTGGGATCGAATGATAATATAAGTTAAAAGGTACACGAGTAAAAACAGCTCAAAATGACATACTTGCCAATGAAGTTTTAAGAGAAACCGAATAGAAAATTAAACATCATTACACCATCCACCATATGCAAATCAACACATAAAATGATTTGCAACCTTCACATTGGGAAGAGTACTTCGCTTCCAAAGCCTAACTTGGATCAGTTCTGACGTTTATAGAACTCTACTGAAGTACTAGGTTATTGTATATAAGCAAAACAATATTCCTAACTACTCACTCAAATTCACCATAAATTAGTATATCTGAGTATCTACTAGAGTAAGAAACGAACTCCAGAAACATCTTAATAAGAATAACACCTATATACCCACATGTCAGAACATAACCAACCTTAGAAAAGAATGTGCTAAAAAACAACAGAAAAACACCTATGAAAAGAATTGAAATTTGAGGAAGCAAGAAAGTTATCCTAGTAATATACTTCACAAGTAAGCAAAGTAAACAAAAGAAGAGAAATGGAGGCCATGGAACAACTATAGGTCAAAGACTAATAAGAATATCTCCAGTCAACAGTTTGATCAAATAGAGAGCAACCACAAAACCAAATGACACTTTTCAAAACCTTAAGGGATCAACATAAACCTTTCTTAAACCTATGGCAACTAAGTAATTTTACCCCAAAATATACATGATAGAAGGGATATACACCATCCTTCATTCATAACCAACGGTTAGGAGATTCTCTAGACTGTAGCCATTGCATCTCGCTCTTTCTTATTACATGACCAATTCATTATACTATCATCATTCCTCAAAACACAATGTAAATAGAAGGGAAACCAAACATAAACTGATACAGCAACCATTTTAGTCATCAACAAAACTTATACAAAAGATGGCACCCATTAAACCTCGTCCAACTCAAGGCATGCATTTTAGCGTGTAAAAGGCATTGTCCAGGGAAATGACAATAGTAGTTGCATATAAGCCCAGCTTCCAAGTGGCTGATAGAATGACATTAGCCGCAAAAGACCATCTACACAGCGCAGAAAAGAGACCAAGGGTAGAAAAACTGATGCATGAGAATTCAGAAGACTTTTACAGGATCTTACAGGCATGTTGATACATGTCCGACCAATATGGAAGCGACATAAGCAATTCTCAGGAGACAAGTCAGATCTGGCTATTAGTAGGGAAGATTGGTCCTAACCTCCAGCAACTAAACAGCGCTAATGCATTATTTGGGTTGCCTAAGAATATCCAAAGAAAAAAAACTCTAGTCCCTGTCCAGTAGTTCAACAATCCCAAAAGAAACAGACATTGAATGCAAGAAGGAAAACCAAATGCTAGAGCATACCATGTAATCGATGCACATCTGCCGCACCAAGTCGTGTAATTCAGAGTCACCATAAACTTGATCAGCAACAGCACGAAAGAGGCAGTTTCCATCCTCCAGCATTTTCTTAACTTCCAATCCTTTGTCCCGCCTTATATCCATCTCAAACTGTCGTTCCCTCTCCTGACACAAACACTACATATCAATTTCACAACATTAAAGACATCATAAATCTCCAAATATAATAGATGACCTTGTTCTCCTTCCAGGCTAACAGTGTCTTAAGGAACCTTCCAAAGGAAGCAGAGTGATAACATTAACTGGCTATGGCTCTTAAAGTTAGGATTAAGGTTGCCTAATTCAGCATGATGACATCAAAGAAGTATCAAGACAATACCTATTTTCCATTTTTATTCACTTGATGAATAAAATTAATCAGATACGCCGTAAAGGAAATCATAAAACAGACTGCTTCACTAGTTCTCATCTTATATCAGCAATTAGTCAAAGTAAACATGTAGATAGAAACATCATTAGCTTATGCTGTCCGTGGACCTTCAATCTATAACAGGATTAACGCTTCTACAAGCCAAGAACACATAAAATGAAATACTAGAGCGCAAGCTCCATAATCACTTAGCTGTAAGGATACACCTTTTTTAAGTAAATCAACTGGCATCAGCAGTTGAGTACTGAATGGCACTGACTCTGGGTTAAGAATTAGTTACAAAACATCTCAGATATACAGAAACCAAAACCACACTTCAGTACTAAAATTAAATTTGACTTACTGTATCATCATATGAGGATCCAAAGCAAGGACTTTGCTCATCAGCACTGTTATAACCTTCACTTTCACAGTGAGATCGAGGAGACGATGGTCGAGATCCAGTTGGCGAAGTCCTCGTTGAAACAGTTGGCCATCCAGCAGTTCTCCTAGATGATCCTACCCGCACAGCACTTGAAGTGCCTGATGCAGATCTCCTGAGATTTGAGTTCATTGAAGAAGGTCTAGGAGGAGGAACAGGAGGCGGCGGTGGATATGTGCTTCCCGTAACCATTTGCAATGAACTTCCAACCAAGCCCTCAATCTCTTCTTCCACCACACTCAATCCACCAAAGTCTTTTAACAAATCGCCCGTACTCGTAAAATCATCCCTAGGAAGCGACTCATTTTCAACAGTTTTTTCATCTGCTTCATTCTGATTACTATCCAAGCTCGTTGGTGAAAGATCATCATTACTCACTCCCTTACTCTCAAAAGCACCAGAAATATCAGAACAATCATCTACAACATTCTTTTCTTGTGCTTCTATTGCCAATTCATCATCTTTTTCAGCTGAAACAACTGGATTTTGATAATTGTTGTTATTATTAGCAACCACCGACTGGGCTGGAGCTGGCGTAGAAGAAGAGCAACTTGGTGCCGATGCTGATGCTGAAGGTCTGCTCTGGTTGGAGGACGATGAAGATCCTGCAGAACCTCTTTGAACCAAGATTCGAGTCATCTTCTAATCTCTTCTATAAACTGAAACCCTGGCACAAATTACTGTTTTACTCAACCAGAATTAGAGGTAAGAAAACTTAGATTTGAATTTATCACGTGTTCTGGCCTTGGGCGCTGTCACACCAATTCCACGGCTGAATGATTTGTTACAGCCCAATTCACTCTGATCCCCGCAAATGGCTTTCTGCATTCCCCTAAAAATTCTCATGAGACCTTGAGCTCCTAAATCTCAAATAACAAAACCCTCTTTTGTGTAAAGTTGTCGAAATTACCCGGAACAAAAAAAAAAGATTTTGCAGCTCAATATGACTCCAATTGCCCAAACTGCAATCAAATGTATAATAACCAATGAACACATGTATCCTCAAAATCGAAGTACACCCAAATGACAAACCCATAAAATTCAATCCAAAAAAAATCCAAAAGACGACAACAAACTAACATAAAATTCAATCCAAAAAAATCCAAAAGACGACAACAAAGTAAGTAATCGACTAGGCTTTATCTCATACAAACCAAGCATGCAATCAAAATCCAAAAGAAAAAGAAAATAAGAAAAAAAACCAACAAAATTGACCAGGAAAGGACAATTGATGTGAACACATCATCAACTGTTCCAATTAAAGAACAAAAACGTTAACCGCAATATCAGATTCACCGATATGATAGCTTTAATCTAAAGACAAGAAAAAGCATCAATCTTGAGACTGATCATCAAGAAAATCAAAATCCTAACCCTGAAAATAAATAGTTAATTGGAAATGAAATTCCAATCAATCAAAGGAAATCAGACTCAGCAGAGACCCAATCAAGAGACACAGTAATAGCACGAATATCTGTGATGAATATTGAATTGGGAACCCTACAGTTGACTCAGTGTCCGAGATAGGGGAAAAACTCACCTGAGCTGAGCTAGTACAAGTGCTGAGTGAAGACTAGGGTTCTTGGAATGTGAAAGAGAGAAAAAGCGTTAAGAGGATAATAACTTCGAGGCGAAGATAAATGTGTGGAAAAGTGGAGATGGAAAATGAGGGATTTTATAGGACATGGAAAAAGGGGTGTGGAAATTTTGGGAAAAAGGAGAAGGGAAAAAAAGGCTGGTAGGATGAATCTTTATGGAGAGAAAAATGCCAAATGCCACGTGACAATTGGCCCGCATAGGTTAATCCTAATACCCTAATGATCAAGGTCATATTTTTGTATTACTATGAAATTTCGATTGATATTCAAACTTTTCCAATCGAACTCAAATCAATTTTTATCAAGTCAAATTTGAGTAGAATTCGAATAGTTTGAATTTAAGAGCTGAACTCAAAAATTTTTGTTGAATATAAAATCATGTTCAAGTTTAGTTTAATTATTTGCAGACTAAACTAAAATCAACTTTTATGAAGTTGGATTGATGATTTCGTGCATTAAGTAATTTAGTTAGTCGTTCACATCAAATTACCTGGTAGAATTATGAATCACGGGTCACTTAAGTTGAGTTCTAAACGCTTCAATCTGACTGTTATAATTGTTTATAATTTTTCATGTAACATCACGTAACTTTAATGTAATCGTAATTTTTACACCAATTTTATTGTAGGATCGACAAATTTAGTTTACACTGAACTTTTATTAATTTACAACAAATATTGCACTGACAATTGTATGATTGCACAAAGTTGAGCAACACTTCAATTTGACAGACCGGACCCTTCATCAATTACACCCACACCGCATTGGATTCAAATTTGTTTTCAGTTTTCACTCCTAAACAATTTCACTTTTTACTCCTAAACTTCCATAAAGCGTGGCAACATAATGGGATGACAGCAATTTGTCTTCTATAATGGTTTGGTCAACGCTAAAGTCAAGGTGGCAATCTTGCAATCTGACTCCAAGAATATTATTCATCATATATCAATCCATGGTTTTCTATCTTGTCTGATCAATCCTCTGCTAAAAACAGTTTTTGGATTTCCTCTTGAAGCTTGAACTGCCTTCATTTTACAAGTAATTTTACATGCTTTAAAACCACAAAAGAAAAGCTTTAGTCTACTAAGTTAACTGCATCAATAAATATACATATATATAACAAGAAAGAAATTGATTAACTGAATGGAAGAATACGTATACACTCTGAAAAGGGTACACAACTGCATTCGATTTATCAAATGTAAACACACAATATTACGTAGTTTCCCATCTGTGCTGAAGAATCATTGAGGGGTTGAAACAAGTTTAGTAAAACAATGCACATTGAAGCCAAGAAGAAAGTTCTGAGTCCATATTTTGCTTAGCGTCTTCGAAGAGCCACAGCAGAAAGCACGACCAGGAATACGAAGGTGACTGCTGCAATGAATGAGGCCACCACAGCCCCGCTTACGCGCTGACAAAAATCAGTGTACTGCTGACAAATTGCAAGCCAATTTGCGTTTTGATTGCCGTTGTGAGCCAAATAGACAATGGCAGCCGCGGAAGCTGCTGCAGCAGTGGTAAAAGCCAACAGCATCTGCAGAAGCATTGGAATAATACAGGCAGGATCTGTCAGCTGTTGAACCAAAGAGTTGAAGATAAGTGAGTTCAAAAGGCTTTTCGGATATTACTGTGTCAAAGATGAGAAGTGCTAATCTTGCTCCGGCTGCATGAGGTCGAACGATGCAGACGATTGAGAAAGGCAAGGAGAGAACAAGGTAGCCACTAGCAATTGCATTCGCCACCACGAAGTATCTGCATAATCATTTTGTGTTTAAAAGTTTTGGCATATTTTTTATCATGACATAATGTATAATTTGATGTTGTTAAGTGGGATATCAGTAAATTCAAGAAATTCATAGTCACTGAAGAACAATAGAAGCAATGAATGATGCAGTACGAGAAAGCTGGAAGGTCATCATAGCTTGCTTGAAACTGGAAGAATTGTGTGAAAAAAGGGAGTGTCTGATCAGTAGTTCCCATAGTAATGGTGGCAGTTAAGGTAGCAATGAGGGCACAAAGCCTCAAAATGAAGTCGAAAATCGCGACCCCTCTCTTCCATCCTCCTTTCCTGTAAGGTGTAGCTTTTGTTGTAGCCGTAATTGCGGCAGGAGCAGCAGTAGATTTACCTTTGGCAGATTTGGAGTCAATAAGGATCGCTGTTTCAGGGTTGCTCTTGGTTGAGTGACTTGGCTCCATTGGAATTGAAGGTAATGAGAAGATGTATTTGACTGAACAACTGTGCCAGGGGAGAAATGAAATTAAGCTTGTTATGATAAAAAGGAGGATTGGTGGTCTAATATATAGTACCACCAGACAAAGGAGAACAGCTAATGGATTAGTTCTGGCATTAACAAACTATGGAGGAATTAACAAACTTGGATTACTTGTATGGGTGGAATAATATACAATGTAGATAGGAGAGTTGTTGCATCACTTGCTCCACAGAGGGAAAACAATTAGATGATTAAAATGCAAATACTTGATTGGTTTACTCAGACCATAAAAAAGAGCAAAAGCACCAGGAAAGGGAACCTTTATCTAGTATGATCCTCAGTATAGAACAAGAACTGAAGAACTGAATTTTTCAAAGAAATTAGACTGTTGCAGAAGATCAAAGAAATTATGTATTGTTGTTATTTCACGTAAGATGCAGATCATATGATGAATAGATGCAGATCAAATGTTAGGTCATCTGCCACGCTTTGGGGTTATTATTGAACGCATTGAAAAGCAGAAGCAATTCTATACATCGAATTCTCATGTCAAGAAAAGTGCATATAATAACGTGCTGAGGTACAACACAAACCCTCTTAACTCTTTCAATTTTACAAAAAACCCTGTAAATTTAGATTATACGAATTAGCTTCGCAATCAAATGGATTAGGTTATAACCATTTTGCTGCCTTTGAGGATTAGGTTAGACTAATAGGAGAAGTCACATTTGATGGCTACCATATCTACCGCAAAAATTTCTTGATATAACATTTAGGCAATGTCACTCGACTGAATGGCAAATGGCATCTAGAACTATTGCAGCTGCAGATTGGGAAAAAAAAAGTGCTCGTGATAATGGAGATCATGCTGAAAATTAACAATAGTACTAAAATAATCCTCTTATTCCCATTATGTTTAAATCACTGATGATTGAATGAATCGCCAAATCCATGAAAGCCAATAGACAGCTTTTTGTTGCTTTCACATTTTTCGTTCCTTTCTTGGTGCTGTAAAAGCATCCTAAATTTTGGCGAAAAGATTTATAGCCAGGTGAACCTTGAGCGAGTTAACACTTTGCTGTCATAACAAAAACATTTTTGGGAGAATGATCTCAAAAGTATAAGCCGAAAAACAGGCAAGTACATCAATTCCTACGTTGCAGCCGAGTCGTCACCGGAACGGATTTTTTCGATCCGATATCGGGACGAGATGATTCCAAAATAATAAATCACCGAAAACTTGACCGAATCACCGAAAACTCGATCGAGATGTCTCTAAAACGGATGAAAACAGCCGAATCGCACCAAATCATCCGGAATCAACTTGAATTTTTATTATTATTGCTAATTTTTTTATTATTTTTGTTTATCATATTTTTTACATTTTTAAGAGTAATAGATATTTTAAAAATTTACGTCTTGTCGAGATCACGATCAATATGCCGAGACCGATATGAAACAGTCCGGGCCACGGCTTCGACTTTGAAGCATGATTCCTACCCAAAAGAGGCAACAAGAAGGAACTTGAGCTGTTAAGCACATTAACCGAAACTATATATTTAATGGAGCAGATATGCTACAATTTCTAAATTCTCATCATCAAATGCTTCATGGCTTCAGTAAAACCACCATTTCAACCATTTGAAACTAGCTTGGACATTAAAACTTCCGGCGATGCTTTTTAACTCAATTCCCAGCCAGCCTCAGGTGTTCTAGAAATGAAATTACAGCGTTGAAACGTGTGTAAGAATAGCTAAAGCTATTCATCAACAATCATTCTCAATATCAGAAACTAAAAGTTCATAATTGGCCAGCAACTGCAATGCATCCACAGAATAAGTAGTAATGTCTCAAAAAACACATATTGGCATTACAGCAGTACGTTATTACAAATTTGTGCAAATTGCATAATGACTTCCATCGGAAAGTACCTTTGTTCGGGGAATGCGACGGGAAAAATTGGAATTCAAATTAATAAAAACTGGCATCAGAAGGCACAATGAGGAAGAGACTTCCATGCTGAAAACTCATGCCCTTTAAAGAGAGAATAGTAGCTTCTGTTATGACAATAGGGCAAGAGAAGAACTAGCATAACATTCCATTCTACAAGCCGTGTAGCAATCAAACTTATTCTATATATACCAAAACCCCCGAAGGGAAAAGAATAGGCCAACAGTACTTACAAAGATATTCTCTACCTGGCTATAATTTGGAACGAACTGGAGTTACAAAAAACATCAGCTTTGTATTGGCAGAAGTTACATATAATTGAAACAGATCGTAACAACAGAAGAACTAACATTTCTATGGTCGCAATGCCCATCCACGCTCAGTGAGTGCTTGGTGTACCCGGCTGGCTGCATCAGCAGTGTCATTCAGAGGAGGATAACTCCAGCTTTCTGACATCTGCATGTTGAAAAGTTGACCACAGAACAATTTAAGTAGACAGCAGCACTCAAACATATGATTTTTTACTTTCAGGATAATTTAGAAGCTGATGAGGTACAGGCATAGGCAAATGAAGTTCACTCAATTCAAGGTTTTAAAAAGAGCAGATAAGTGGTAAGATTCGGCAGCACAAAAAGACATTACTTTCATAACACCATTAATTGAATAAATAGATATGAAAATTTTTAGAACCAGAAAACTACTCTTGAGTAAATAGGCACAACCATTAATTAAGTACATGTATGTGAAAATTTTGAAAACTAGAAAACTGCTCATTGAGTAAATAAGCTCAACCAATATTCAAACCGTAGGTAACTTAAACCTCACATTTTGAACATATAGTAGACAGCAGCACTCAAACATATGATTTTTTACTTTCAGGATAATTTAGAAGCTGATAAGGCACAGGCATAGGCAAATGAAGTTCACTCAATTCAAGGTTTTAAAAAGAGCAGATAAGAGGTAAGATTCGGCAGCACAAAAAGACATTACTTTCATAACCATTAATTGAATAAATAGATATGAAAATTTTTAGAACCAGAAAACTACTCGAGTAAATAGGCACAACCATTAATTAAGTACATGTATGTGAAAATTTTGAAAACTAGAAAACTGCTCATTGAGTAAATAAGCTCAACCATTAATTGATTAAATAGATGTGAAAATTTTGAGAACCAGAAAACCACTCTTCGACTGAGCACAAAGTGCTGCCTTCGTGAATTTCCACAAATCTCAAGTTTAGAAAGATTTCAGATACCCCACAAAAAATATCTTTCTAAACAAGAAAATACACATCGGGGTGGCTTTGGCAGATACATCTCTAATAAGAGTCATTCCTCTAGCCAGCCCAAAGAAAAGGAATCAACTTAAGGCTAAAAGGCAACAGCTTACAGCTACCCCAAGTAGTAGAATAAATAAGGTGCTGTCAAAGATGCATTACAAAACATCCAAAAACATGAGTCTTCTCAGATGGTTATCATGCTTCTGTACTTACATCTTCAAGACCTGTAAAGGGGCGAACCAGGCCTCTTTCCCTCAGAGTTTTGTGGAACTCCACAAACTTCCAGGTACAGCGCTCAGCACCAATTACATATACTGGCTTTCTGCAAAAAGTCAAGCAATATTTACAAATTGACATTGTAGTGTGTATACATATACGCAAACATATTCATACATACATACATACATACATACATATATATATATATGTAAAGAAGTTGAAACAGCAGCAAACTCCAAGTTTCAATAACCATTAAGATTCTCCTCAAACATACCCAGTGCTGCAAGCTTCACTTAGCATACTAACTGAGTCTGCTGTGATGATGAATGCATCAGCCCAAGCTAGATGCCCCATGTGTGGATTTGGCTCTACAAAGGATTACACAGTAATCACAATCAGATTCCCTTCTTTATATGTCTCCAGCTACTCTAAAAAGAAACCAGGGGAAGTTTACCTTCACCATTCCATATGTTTATTTTTGGATGAGTTCCAAATTCTTTTGCCACAATATTGGAAATCTTTCAACAACAGACACCAGAAAAAGCATGGAGTCAATTATAAACTTCTTCTATTATGTTAAAAACAAGGGACGCTTATTCTAGATACCTTTTCAGGTGTCCTTCTTGAGAAAGAAATTCTTACACTCCCACAGCTTGCAAGAACATTGTGTAAAGAGGCAGTCAGCTGCTTTGCAAGGTCCCCACCGTAACGACAATACCCTAATCGAAATCCAGCATATGCTATTACTCTCAAATAGAAACAACTAGTGGCTTGGGAAGCAGATACAAAAGTGAAAAAGGTAAAAATTATTAGAGAAATGTCAAAAACATAAAAGAGCTAGAAATGGGTGAGGGAAGCATAAAAGAAATCTCGAAAACATACTAATCCGAGATTATGAAGAATATTTTAATTCAAATTCTAATTTCTCTAATTGATTTATCAATTATATAGGCTCAGAAGACATCTACATGCCCCAAGAAGCATGGTTGGAAATTGTCTTGCATGAATTGGAAGATATGCCAACAAGACCTAATTTCCACTCATGCAAGACATGTCCAACTACTATAAGGTTGTCATGTCAATCACTCTGAATATCAGGAACTAATAGATAACAAGTAGCCTGAACTACTGGGTGTTGGGCCAGCCAAAAGCTTCAGCAATAGAAGTGTAAAAGATTCTTGACAGCAGAAGTGTAATAAACCAGCAGAACATATTTTCAGATATTTAGTACTGTACTGAACCTGGAGTGACAAAATCTGTTGATACAAATGTCTGCTAATGCCATGTTTTACAATGTAATTTCATAATTAACACCTAACACACCATATTTTGATAACACGAAAGCACACCCTACATAAACTAAGCTCCTAACTCCTTTGATACAAATCTCTTTCTCTCCCTTCCCTCTCTCTATCTCCTCATACCAACACAATCACCTACCAATCCCCTTGATATAATACGAAGCCAACAGAAACTTTTAACGGAAGAGACAAAAACCAAACAGAACGTAGAAATATCAAGGATGTGAAAATGTAAGAAAGTTACTTGTAGGCCCTCCAATGTTAACTACAAGTAATGGCTTTGCTAAAGGCGCAAACTCATCA